TGTCTGATGATTGGTGATGTTCAGCACCTTTTCATTCATACATATGCCTGAATGCCATTTGTATGTCTTCTTTTGAGAAATGTCTGTTCAAATCTTTTGCCTTTTTTACAACTGGATAATTAGAGATATTTTTCCTGTAGAGCTGTTTGAGGTCCTTATATATTCTGATTATTAATCTCTTGTCAGTTTGTAAATATTAATCTGGTTATTAATCTCTTGTCAGGGTAGTGTGTAAATATTTTTTTTCCATTCTGTGTGTTGTCTCTTGACTTTGTTGATTGTTTCCTTTGCTATACAGAAGCTTTCTAACTTTATATGATCCCATTTATCCATTTTTGTTTCAGTTGCCTGTGCTTGTGGGATATTGCTCAAGAAATATTTTTTGAGACCAATGTCCTTGAACGTTTCCCCAAAGTTTTCTTACAGCAATTTCATACTTTGAGGTCTTAGATTTGAGTCTTTAATCCATTTTAATTTGACTTTTGTATATGGTGAAAGGTAGGGTTCTAGTTTCATTCTTCTGTATGTGGATATCCAGTATTCTCAACACCATTTATTGAAGAGATTGTCTTTTCCACACTGTATGTTCTTGGCAACTTTGTCAAAAATAAGTTCACTGTAGGTGTGTGGATTTGTTCCAGGTTCTCTGATCTGTTTCATTGGTCTACGTATCTGTTTATATGCCAGTACCATGCTTTTGTGGTTACTATAGCTCTTTCGTATAATTTGAAGTTAGGTAATGTGGTTCTTCCTGTTTTGTTCTTTCTTCTCAGGATAACTTATCAATTCTGGTCTTTTGTGGTTTTATATACATTTTAGGATTGCTCTTCCTATTCCTGTGAAGAATGTCATTGGCATTTTAATAGGGATTGCATTGAATCTGTAGGTTACTTTGGGTAATATGGACGTTCTAACAATATTGATTCTTTCAATCCATGAACATGGAATATCTTTCCATTTTTGGGGTCCTCTTCAATTACTTCCATCAGTGTTTTATAATTTCCATTGTAGAGATCTTTCACTTTGTTGCTTAAGTTAATTTCTAAGTATTTGGTTCTTTGCGTGGCTATTGTAAATGGGATTACTTTTTCATTTGTTTTCCATATTGTTCTATGTTGGCATATAAACATGCTAGCAATTTTTGCATGTTGATTTTGTATCTTGCAACTTTACTGAATTTGTTTTTCAGTTCTAATCATTTTCTGGTGGAGTCTTTAGGTTTCTCCAAATATAACATCATATCATCTGCAAATGAGGATAATTTGACTTCTTTCCTTACAATTTGGATGCCCTTTTTATCTTTTTCTTGTCTGATTGCTCTAGCTAGGACTTCCAGTATTGTGTTGAATAATAGTGATGAAAATGGGCATCCTTGTCATGTTCCAGATTTTAGAGGAAAGACTTTTGGTTTTTCCCTGTTCAGTAGGATACAACCTGTGGGTCTATTGTACATAGATTTTGTTATGTTAAGGTATATTCAATCTGCACCCAGTTTCTTGAAGGTGTTTTTACCATGAAGGGATGTTGAACTTTATCCAAAGCTTTTTCAGCACCAATTGAAATAATCATATGGCTTTTGTACTTCATTCTGTTGATATGACCTATCACATTGATTGATTTACATATGTTGAACCATCCTTGCATCCCTAGGATACATCCCAGTGGGTCATGATGAATTATCTTTTTAACATATTGTTAAATTTAGTTTGCTAGTATTTTGTTGAGGAACTTTGCATCAATATTCATCAGAGATATTGGCCTGCTGTTTTCTTTTTTTGACATATCTTTTTCTGGTTTGGGTATCAAGGCAATACTGGCCTTGTAGAATGAGTTTGGAAGTATTCCTTCCTCCTCTCTTTTTCGGAATAGTTTGATTAGGCTTAGTACTAGTTATTCTTAAATGTTTGGTAGAATTCAGTGAAGCCATTGGGTCCAGGGTTTTTCTTTACTAGGAGACTTTTTATTACCATTTTGATCTTGTTACTTGTTATTAGTCTGTTTAGGTTTTGGATTTCTTCAATTTTATTTTTTTTCTTTTTTGAGATGGAGTCTCACTGTATCACCCAGGCTGGTGTTCAGTGCCATGATCTCAGCTCACTGCAACCTCTGCCTCCTGGGTTCAGGCAATTCTCCCACCTTAGCCTCCCAAGTAGCTGGGACTACAGGTGCATACCACCATGTCCAGCTAATTTTTTGTACTTTAGTAGAGATGGAGTTTCACCATGTTGTCCAAGCTGTTTTCAAACTCCTGAGCTCAGGCAATCTGCCCACCTTGGCCTCCCAAAGTGCTAGGATTACAGATGTGAGCCACTGTGCCTGGCCAGATTTCTTCAATTCTTTAATGGTGCAATATTGGTAGATCATATGGGTCTAAAAATTTGTCCATGTCTTCTAAATCTTCCAATTTATTGGCATATAGTTGCTCATATTAGTCACTATTATTCTTTGGAGTCTTACAATATCAGTCGTAATGTCTCCTGTTTCATTTGTAATTTTATTTATTTGAATCTTTTCTCTCTTTTCTTTTTTTTTTTAGTCTGTCTAAAGGTTTCTCAATTTTGTTTAACTTTTAAAAAAAACTAATATTTTGTTTCATTGATCTTTTGTATTGCTTTCTTCAACTTTATCTACTTCTGCTATGATATTTATCATACCTTATCTTCCACTAATTTGGGTTTGTTTGTTCTTGCTTTTCTAGTTCCTTAAAATGCATTATTAAATTGTTCATTTGAAGTTTTTCTTATTTTCTGATGTAGACACTTATAGCTAAAACTTCCTTCTTAAGTACCATTTTGCTGTATTCCATAGGTTTCAGTATGTTGTGTTTCCATTATCGTCTATTTAAATAAATTTTTCTATTTTCTTCTCAATTTGTTCATTGACCCACTGGTCCTTCAAGAGCGTATTAATTTCTATATATTTGTAAAGTTTCCAAAATTCCTCTTGTTATTGGTTTCTAGTTTTATTCCATTGTGGTCAGATAATATGCTTGATATTATTTCAACTTTCTGAATGTTTTAAGATTTGTTTTGTGATCTAATATATGGTTTATCCTTAAAAACGATTCATTTGCTGAGGAAAGGAATGTGTATCCTGAAGCCATTTGGGTTAAATATTCTGTAAGTATCTATTAGGTTCATATAGTGCAGATTACGTCTGATGTTTCTTTGTAGATTTTCTGTTTGGAACGTCTATCCAATGCTGCAAGTGGGGTGTCGAAGTCTCCAGCTATTATTGTATTGGGACCTAGCTCTCTCTTTAGCTCTAATATTTGCTTTATATATCTGGGTGCTCCAGTATTCAGTACATATATATTTAAAATTGTTATATCATCTTGCTGAATTGTCCCCTTTATCATTATATAGTGACCTTCTTTGTCTGTCCTTATAGTTTTTGTCCTGAAATCTATTTTTCTGATATAGTATAGCAACTCTTGTTCTTTTTTTGCTTCTATTGGCATGGGAAATCTTTTTCCATTCCTTTATTTTCAGTCTATGTGTGTGTTGATAGGTGAAGTGTGCTTTTTGTAGGCAACAGATATTTCCAGATTGATTTTTTATCCATTCAGCCACTCTGTGTCTTTTGAATGAAGAATTTAGTCCATTTACATTCAATGTTGTTATTGATAAGTAAGGACTTATTCTTCCCATTTTGTTATTTATTATCTGATTGTTTTGTGGTCTTCTCTTCCCTCTTTCACTTCTCCATGTCTCCTTTTAGTGAGGGTGATTTTCTCCGGTGATATGATTTAGATTTTTGCTTTTTATTATTTGTGTATTCGTGGTGTATTGTTTTTTGGTTGGAGGTTACCATGGGGCTTGCAAATAATATCTTAACCTATTATTTTAAATTGATAACAGCTTAACAGCATTCACATAAATAAACAAACAAAAAGAAAACTAATAGACTCTATAACTTAACTTTATCCCCCTCTGCTTTTTAACATTTTGTTATTTCTTTTCATATCTTATTGTATTGTCTATGTCTTGAAAAGTTGTTGTAGTTGTTCTTTTTGATTGGTTCATCACTTAGTCTTTCTACTTAAGATAAGTGCAGTTTACACACCACAGCTACAGTGTTATAATATCTGTGATTTTCTATGTGCTTACTATTCTCAGTGATTTTTGAATCTTCATTATTTCTTATTGCTAATTAATGTCTCTTTCTTTCTGATTGAAATACTTCCTTTATCATTTCTTATAGGACAGGTCTGGTGTTGAAATCCCTCAGTTTTTGTTAGTCGAGGAAAGTCTTTATGTCTCCTTCATGTTTGAAGAATGCTTTTACTGAATATACTATTCCAGGGTAAAAGGTGTTGGGGTTTTTTTTGTTTTGTTTTGTTTTTTCCCTTTAGCACTTTAAATATGTCATGCCACTTTCTCCTGGTCTGTAAGGTTTCCACTGAAAAGTCTGCTTCCAGATGTACTGGCGCTTCATTGCATTTTATTTGTTTCTTTTCTCTTTCTACTTTTAGGATGCTCTCTTCATCCTTGACCTGTGGGGGTTGATTATTAAATGCTTTGAAGTAATTTTCTTTGGGTTAAATCTACTTAGTGTTCTATAACCTTCTTGTACTTGGATATTGATATCTCCCTCTAGATTTGGGAAGTTCTCTGTTATTATTCTTTTGAATAAACTTTCTACGCCTATCTCTTTCTGTACTTCCTCTATAAAAGCAATAATTCCTAGATTTGCCCTTTTGAAGCTATTTTCTATATTCCATAGATATGCTTCATTGTTTTTTATTCTGTTTTTTTTTTTTTCTCCTCTGACCATGTATTTTCAAATAGCCTGTCTTCAAGCTCACTAATTCTTTCATCTGGTTGATCAATTCTGCTATTAGAAAACTTTGATGCATTCTTCAGCATGCTAATTGCATTTTTCAGCTCCAGAATTTCTGCTTGATTCTTTTTAATTATTGCAAGCTCTCTATTAAATTCATCTGATAGGATTCTGAATTTTTTCTCTGTGTTACCTTGAATTTCTTTGTTTCCTCAAAATGCTATTTTGAATTCTCTGTCTGAAAAGTCACCTCCTATTTCTCCAGGTTTGGTCCCTCGTGCCTTATTTAGCTCATTTGGTGAGGTTATGCTTCCCTGAATGATGTTGATGTCTGTCACTAGTAGATGTCCTTTGGTGTCTGGGCATTGAAGAGTTAGGTATTTATTGTAGTCTTCTCAGTCTGGGCTTGTTTGTACCAGTCCTCCTTGGGAAGGCTTTCCAGATTGTCAAAAGGACTTGGGCATTGTGATTTAAGCTATATCTGCTTTAGGGGCACCCTAAGCCCTGTAATGCTGTGGTTCTTACAGACTCTAGAGGTACTGCCTTGATGGTCTTGGACAAGATGCGAAGAATTCTCTGATTACCAGGCAGAGACACTTGTGTTCTTCCCTTACTTTCTCCCAAATAAATGGATTCTCTCTCTCCGTTCTGAGTCACCTGGAGCTGGTGGTGGTGTGACACGAAGCATGATTAGGACTGGGCTGGTTCATACCTGAAGCCTGTGGAGCACTGGGTCTTGCTCAAGGCTTGTTTTAATCATTGCCTGGCTACAGCCTATGTTTGCTCAAGGCCTTGGGGCTCTACAATCAGCAGGTGGCAAAGTCAGTTATGCCTGTGTTCTTCCCTTCAAGGCGGCATGTTCCCCAGGCACTGAGTTCAAAGCCTCACAAATGCTATAATCTCCCTCTCCCCAGCACACTAAAATGCTCTCCATACTATGTCAGGGCTGCTGGAGGATGGGGGAAAGGTGGCGTCAGTGATTTAAGAGTGTTTTTCCTACCTCTTCAGTGTCTCTTTCAGCAATACAAGGTTAACACCATCTACAGTGTGCTCATCTTTTTTTAGTTCTTATGAAGGTGATTTTTTTCGGTGTAGTTATTAAATGGGCATCCTTGCAGGCAAGATGGTTGGTGTCGCCTTCTATTCTGCCATCTTGTTCCACTCCAAAGTCTAACTGAATTTTCTCATTAGCTAGGATTTATTTACTAAAGAGAAATTCTGCCTTCACTTTTGCCTCCCTTCACTTTTCTGTGTAACTTTTCCAGCACTTCAGACTCACCTTCTACTAGAGGCAGAGAAGGGAGAACTGACCCTGTCCTTTTACTAAAAATGATGATCCCCCGAGAAAGCAGTGGAATTCAACTCCAGGTGAGCCTGGAGGAATCAGCCTGAAGGTGACTCTGCAGTTGCCGGCTGTTGTTCAGCAAAATGGTCTCACTGGCCAGGAGTGAGCAGACTGTGCTTCTGGGTCCAAGCCACTGATCACATCTAAAGTGTTATGCTTGAAACCCAGAAAAACAGAGGAATGTACTCGTTGGAAAATATGTTTTCACCATAAAATTTCTGAGAAAGTATAAGCTATAAACTAGTTAACATTTTTTTAAGGCAGCTGGTCAGATATAAAAGTAAGCTGGTGATTGTAAATACTATGTCTGTGTCAGAGAAATCGCAGAAGCACAAACAACTTTAAAAATACTAACAGCTAGCCAGTTAAAGGAGATAACCTTCGCCTGTTATTTTGCTTGGGGCAGCATACAGCCTGGAGTGGAAAACTGTCTGGCAGAAGACAGAAGACCTGGATTTTGAAGCTTGTATATCCACAGAAAATTTATTTATCCAGAAATTTAATGGTTTAACAGCCTGACTTTCGCAACTGCTATAAAGAAGACACCACTAATATTTATATTGCTTTCAGTTTGCAGAGTCCTTTGTAGTTCACCAAGTGTGGTGGAAATGAAGACTACAGATCAGTGGTTCTCACATTAGAAATAGGGAACATAAAAAATACTGATGGCCAGGCCCTACCCATGCTGAAACTAGAATCAGTAGGGATAAGGCTTTGACATTGGTATTTTTAAAACAAGTATCCCAGATAGTTCTAATATGGTTAGCACTGTCTGAAACCATGTTAAAAATGGGAAATACTGTATGATGGAAAAACAACTGAGGAATATGAACACATTAGCCCTCCATTTACAGGCTGAATAGACTTTGGTGAGAAATTTTATCTTTAATTCTCAATTTCTTCATTTGCAAAACAAGGATAAAAATCTTGTTATCCCTTATATGGAGTTTTAAAGCTCAGGAGAGTTTCTCTGAAAACACTTCATAAATTATGATGTTCTGATCAAATGTCAGCTGTGACATTGTTCTGACTCTAGTTCTAAAACACAGAAGGGTCAATCAAAAGAGCTAAGCAAAATTCACAGCCAGCCTGACAGCTAGAGTCACTGGATGGCCAACTTTCCCGGAAGAAAAAAATCTTTAAGACATAATACTATGGTCATCAAATTCTAAATGCCTGTCTCTGTATTGGACTAGCTATAAGAACATAAAATTCCAAGAGTAGAACTTTAGCAAGCAGTAAAAAATAAGAAGATTCAGGAAAAAGGAATCCACAGGACCTCCACGGTACACCTAAAATCCTCACTCAGGAAACATATATTTCATTTCAGTTTAGGCTAGCCCTGTTCTTTGACTACTAAAGTCATGCTATGATGTAAGTAAACTAACTGGAACACAGTAAATGCTTTAAATGCCCATTAGAATACTGTCTAATGTCTCAATATGAAGAAATAGTCCCATAAGGCTGTGTGTCTATGTTCATAGGCACAGTTAAAGAAAAAAGCAGCTAAAGAAGGGTGGGTTAGCCATTAAGAATATAAGACCAAAGCTCTGGCCACAAATACTGGATCATTGAGTCATTATTAACCACTCTCTTAGAGACTGTCCATGTGTCAAGACTGTGTCTGCCTAAAGCTCTTTTTACCCAGTGAACCTAATCCCTCAGCCTCTATACACAGTCTATTGGGTTCCTAGCAATCATTACATTGTAACTGGCATTCATGAAACTATAATCACTGTAGGAGCAAAAAGAGATCAGGGAACGCAGGTGGATGCTTTCTGAAGGAGATGAGGTCTCGGCTGAACCTTGAAGGTAGACAGGATTGAACAGGCAAAACAAGAGGACATTTTAATGAAACAAATAGCATGACTCATGGGAAAACTGAAGACAGAAATAAGACAACATTAACTGTAATCTATTTTCAGGTAACAAGGGTCAGATTATATAGGGGTAAAAGTAGTTCCCAGAGAGGTCAATGTAACAGTAGCATTTTTCTCTACCACATTCCTGAGTGTAGATGACTTTCAATAAAGTTGGTTGGAGAGATTCATGGTTTTTAGAAGAGAAAACAAATAGCCTTCTACTGTAAATGCACAAACTTGTTATCCATTCAGTCAAAATCTAGTCATTCTGGAAGTTTTTGTTTTTGTTTTGTTTTGCTTTTAGGATCTTCTGTTGAGTGAGGCTCTGTGCTAAGTATTGAGGACTCATTGCTGGACAAATCACGATTCCTGTCCTCCAGCAGTTTACAACAGTCTTGCCATTTTAAAAACCCAGAAAAGTAAGTCAGACAAGCTTTGTGACCTTGGACAAGTGACTCACCTTGGAGCCACAGATTTCAAAATTTTCAAGTGGGGTAATATTTATAACCACTTCACAGCGTGGTTAAGAGTATTTAATAAAATAATGTTTATAAAGCACTCAGCACGGTGCCAGTCACATAATAAGCACTCTATAAATATTAACTATTATTACTGTATTCTTCTTTGCATCAACAGGCTTGGTCAGTGTAAAGAAAAGGAAGGGATAGGTTATTTTCTAGGGCTGAGACCACTCTCAATACTCAACCAGAAGGCAAATGAACATGCATCTGGCTGGGTGCATGCAGCAGCAAACGAACTTGCATCTGACTGAATTCCACAATTCTAACATTGCCACTTTAGCTTCTAAGTTTCTCTCTGAGAGCTTACTCTCAGAGTCGATAAAATGCAACTGGTCACGCTTACAGTTTAAGCCTACTAGCTCCTTGCAACAAACACTTTGCAACATATGTGTTTCCACTGTAAACAAGTGTGCATGAAAAGAGAAAGAAAGAAAATGACAGTTATTGTCTTCCACTGGAAAGGATGGGGTAACCTACAACAAAGACATTGTCATTTACAAGAAGTGAAAAGAGCTCTTGGACTACTCCTGCTAAAGCATTTCCACTTGGAAATGGCAGCTGTAGGCCAGATGGTCATTTGTGGGCAGATATAGCTGGGAATCTAAGCATGGCTTGTGATGAGAAGGAGAAGCAAATACAAAAACAAAACTTGCTTTCCTTTGGAAAATATTGCCTCAGCCTGCTGAGGGAATTTACCTCATCAGTAACCGCAGTCAAAGTGATTTTGAATATGAAGATGAGCCTACTATTTCTTATCCTCAAACAACAACAACAAAAAAAACCTGTGGATTCCCTGTAGTCCTCCTGTTTCTGGCACTAAACCAGGTGATGAGTTGTCTTCAATGACAAGATAACTCAAAGACAAAATGATATTAGGATTCAAAAGTTTTGGTGTATGAAGATTTGGTTGACATAAAGGAAACATTTTTTAAGAGACTTAGACTTTTTTTCAAGGCTGCAATTGTTGGGCTTACCTTCATGATGCAGACTCCCTTATTTGAGAGTTCCTTAAGGCCAAGCACCCTGTCTTAGTCACTTTTGTAGGGCTGACACTTGCTATGTGTTCAATAGATGGTGTGTGTGTGTGTGTGTGTGTGTATTGATGAGAGAGAGAAACAACAAAACAAATGAAGAAGGGAAAGTGGAGAAGAGGGCAAGAAGGGTATGGGGACATAGAAGAAGGAGGGAGCAAAGGAATGAAGAAGGCAGAACAGAGCATGAAAGCAGAAGCCAGGTAGGAGCACAGACTTCTCAATAGATGGCAACAGGGGAAAGTTTCAGCCTCCTCAGCAGATGATTAAAGAGCAAATGAACAGCTGCAGCTCTCAGAAGATATCAAGACAGATGACCATTGTATACACATGAGTCCCAGGAACTGTGGAGCACAGGGATGTAGAACAAGAAGAAAGTCCTGAATGGGCCTGAGCTTTATACCTGAATTGACTAAAATTACCTGGAAGTGGCTGGATCAAGTGATCTGTGGCTAGAAGAATGGAGAGTCAGGATAGAAAGTCAGTTATAGGAAAAGGAAAGCAAGTTTTCACATATTTGAAGTTTTAACATGAGCTACATGCTCCACAAAGTGCTTTCAATTTAATTCATTTGGACAAGTATTTGTTCAGAGCCCAATATGATATCTGAAAAGCCATATTCCTATCATGTGTAAAATTTTCTTGCTTTGACTTTGAAATTAAATTGACCAGGGACCCTCTCAATGGTGATTAAGATATCGCTTTTCTAAAGATAGGATCTTCGAGAGAAAACTCTCAAATATTTTCCAGCTATAGGGATAAATATTTCAGGGTTTCTGTGTCATAGTGGTAACATATATCAATACAGTAGGTTGCAACTACAAAGTGTGAAATTGACATTATTATCCCCTTACTAAAGAAAGGAGAAAATGGAGAATAGAAAGTTTAGTAAGTGACTTTCTAAAGACAGTTGCTCTGGGACCCAAACTGTCATTTTTTCTTTAATGTCAAAAGCACTGCCTTTCTGCTCCATCATATCTTCCACTCATGGGTAGTTTATGGACTTAGTTTCACAGGCTCAGAAACTAGATTTTAACAGTTCACTCAGAGACAACTGGGTTCTGGAAAATGGATTTGCTAACCCCACTCACAGAAAACTAACTTCCATTGGGAGGTGGAGAAGAAATCCTTGGTTCCAGAATGACGGACATGTATCTGCTCAGGAAATGCTAGTCATCTGAAAAAAAATGAACTCCTCAGACTATGTTTAGGTTTCTGGACAAAAAAAATCAGAGGCAGTGTGGCAATCTGTGTGAATGTGGCCAATAAGTTTGGAAAATTCTGGTTTTAATTTAAATGAGACTCTTTAACCATAAGATTATTCAGAACTTTTAATATGCTAATGTTACTTCTATAGGAATAAAGCATTTGTAACTAATATGGTTTGACTGTGTCCCCACCCAAATCTCATCTTGAACTGTAGTTACCATAATCCCCACATGTTGTAGGAGGGACCCAGTGGGAGGTAATTGAATCATGTGGGTAACTGCCTCCATGCTGTTCTTATGATAGTGAGCTCTCAAAAAATCTGACGGGTTTATAAGTGTGAAATTGACATCATCATTCCCGCCTTTCCTCTGCACTTCTTGTTGCTGCCATGTGAAGAAGGACATGTTTACTTCCCCTTCTGCCATGATTGTAAGTTTCCTGAGGCTTCCTCAGCCATGCTGAACTGTGAGTCAATTAAACCTCTTTCCTTTATAAATTATGCAATCTCAGGTATGTCCTTATAGCAGCGTGAGAATGGACTAATACATACATTTCAAAATGCACTCAGCCATAAAAACACCATTTCCATGAACATCTACAAATTCTCATTTTTAAGAAAGAAAAACTTAGAAAAGGAAGTGTTGACTATTTTTAAAGCAGTTATTCCATTAAACTATAGAATCCTGATAAGTTGCTGTTCTCAAAAGCCAAAGGTAAGTGCCTAGAAATTACTGTGACACTCTCTTGAAGAAAGTGGTATGTATTTGTATATTTTTATACCTTGATTCTATTTTATATACCATATCAGCTGTTCTTTTAATTCAATGATCTTTTGTGGACAATATGACCCAGCTAAATGGCTTACCATTTTGTTTACATCAATTGCAATCTCTTCATGCTGATGTTAATAATTGTAACATTAAAAATGGTAAAAAAATATATATATATATTGAGAGATTCTATTTCTTGAGTGTTTGTTATTTGCTAAACACCATATCAGGTGTACTTTTTAATGCATTCTTGAGTAGTTACCACTCTTTTCCATTTTACAGAGAGAAACTAAGGCTCAAAGAGGTTAGGTGACTCTCCCAAGATCTCACACAGCTAGGAAGATATAAATTTGAAATTATAATCAAATATATTTGATTTACATACTCTTTTGTTAACTAGGATGATATTCAATCTCTATTTCTCTTGATTACCTTAATTGGACCTGGGAGATGGCCAAATGTTATTGTAAAAGTGGTGGACATACCTATAATTCAAATCTGTCCCTCAAGTTTGGGATAGAGAAGTTTATGAAAATGAAGGTTAAAAGTGTCCATCATGCTGCACAGTGATAGCCAGAATCATTCCCTATAATCATGGAGATAAGGAGCAGAAAAGCGAATGCAGAGATAATGAGTGAATGGCCAAAAGCATGCCTCTATAATTAACCAAGCCTTTTCAACACTTAAGGGACAAGGCAAAAACATAATCAGAGACTGGATGCCCCACAAGAAGAGGCCTTCCTTTGATGGGTCTCATCATCTTCATTAGCTTTCTCATTCTCAAACATTGGAGTGGACCCAAATTTTACAGTGACTATATTTTTTAAACCAAAGTTTGGTACAAGTATTTTGACAAACATTTTTGCTCTTCTTGGTGAATTAATATTTTTGAAGTCTATAAATTTATAAACATTTGGTCACACTAAGCATTGTATTTTATGTATATGTATATATGCACGTATGGACGTATTTTTCACACCACCTTTATAAAAGAATTTAAAGCACCTATTTATTTTTTAATTGCAAGTATTGAAAACAATAAAATTGAATGAAATTGAAATCATCATGTTTCTATACTATTTGTAGTTTCCTATAGCATAATGAACATTATAATGCTCTCTTGTTTCCCAAGCATATAAAGTTTATCAACTGACTCTTTTCTTTGACATAGTTTGTTGCTTAAAAACAAACCAAAAAATAAGCAAAATACTCAGCCAACCACTTCATTCATTCTTTCAACATTTGTTGATGGTTAACTATGTAATAGTTACTAAGTGGAAGAAAAAGATAAATTTAAAAAAACAGTGCCTTCTCTCAAGTAGCTCATCATTAACTTGCAAAAAAAATAAAAAATAAAAACACAAATAAATAGGTAATTACTTCATAGTAGTGAGTACAGTAATAAAGACTGAACACAAAGAATTGTTAGAGCACATGGGAAAAACAAAACAAAACAGTAAACCTAACCTCAGAAAAAAACTAAGAAGGCTTCTCAGAGAATGTGATATCTGTGGGGGGTAATGAGGGTCTAGCATGCCATTAAGATCAGAAATGGAAGTTCAGTTCCCTGGGTTTAAATAATTTGTGTTGTACATACAAGAAAGAGGTGGACCAGTTACTAAAACCCTACCTCTGTAATCAACACTGTGAAAATAAGAGTATTATGAGGGTTAAGTGAATCAAAATCTATGAAGCACTGAGAACATCATCTGCCCAATTGTAAGCTCTCACCAAGTGTTAATTAATAGATAAGATCATAATGGATAAATAGGATCATCCCAATGGGAAAGCACTTTCCAGGGAGAGATTAGCAGGTACAAAGGCCAGGGACATGAACAAATCTGAGACCTTCAGGGACATGCAGGTGATGCAGTTTGTTTAGGACAAT